AGTTCGTTGGTTCACGTCATGCTTTGTGTCTGAGAAGCTAAAATGGTGGATGTTGTTGAATTGAAGTTCTGCAAAAGGAAATATTGTCGCGGCCATCCTGTTGAGGGGCAGTGGGTATTTGGAGGTGTGGAAAGAGGTTCTGGGAGATTATTTTTAGTGGCTGTGCATGATAGAAGTAGAGATTTGTGATTATTTGTTATTTTAATTATTTGTGAACCATAGTATTAATTTTCTGGATAGTGTGTTTGGCTGTCATATAAATACGATAGTGATTACGTGGCGGCATGTTAAAGGCTGCATGAAATTGGTATTTCTGCTGTTCGAAAAAGCATTGATACATGGTAAGTGCATTTTATTTTATTCTTGTTCTTATTTTGTAGAATGTTATGTTCATTGTTTTTTTAGTATGAATTTCTGTCGTTATTGTTGTTTTTTTAATTGTGTGAAATTTATTTTAGTCATTTTGTTGATTAGTGCGTACCGTCTAAATTGTGCAATTCATAGATGTTTTTTAAAGTTGAAACCAGAACGCTGTATACATGGTATACTTTTAAATTTATTGTTGTTATGTTAATTTATTAAAGTGAGGTGTGCGTAGTTCGTAGATTCGTTTGTTGCCTAGATTGTGCCATTCGTAGATATTTTTTTAAGTTAAAACATATCGCTGTGTACATGGACTCTGTCAATAATTTTGGTTAGAAACTTTACGGTTTTGCTATCTAAATTTTTTGTTTTTGTTTCGTATTTTTAGCTTAAATTGTGTGTTCAAAACGTGGTTTTTGCATTCGCAAAAAACGTGTTTTTGGAGACATTTTAGGCCTAAAGTTCGAAATGTAGACAAAAAATTTAGATACCAATATGACAGCGTGGAGTTTCTTGCCAAAAATGTTTGGCAAGAAATTTGGCGACTTGAGGGCGCATATCAGAGTAGTTCCAAAATAAATAAATAAATAAAACAATTTATAGATTTATAATGATGCCTGCAAAATACATAATTTATCAGAAATTCCCAGATAATTCTTGCACATTGAAAATGCTTTAACTAATGCTAAATTTTTGCAGATTCCAAATGAAGCAAATATTTGCTTTATGATAACTTGGTGACTATTTCATGATCAACCCTAAAATACAAATCCACATTCTGTAATGGAATTTTTTATTCAGCTGATTTGGATCATAAGGTAAGCTATGCAAAAATTTTTTATTTGCATTTCAAAAGGCCATAGGCTACAAAATCTGAGACAGTCCCTGAAACATCAAATATATTGCCATTTTCAATTAATACTGATCATTTAATTTATCAAAATATACAGTATTACATAATACAGTACAAAATATACTACATTATACACAACCTAAATTACAATCTCAAAATTTCCTGTGTTACACATTTATCAATTAGTTTGTCACTCATTTCACATGCGGGTTAATATTAAGCAAGGGCACTAAACTAATACCTACAATATTAGTAAACTAGAAATGAACAATTAAAATTACTTCAGGTTTAAAATAACAATCAAAACTAATTTTCACGATACACTCTAAATAAGGAATAACAGATGCATAATTGGAATATATCAATTCAACTTCTTGATATATTTCATTTCCTGCAACATTATGACATTTAATGTCCCTTAAGCTCACATATTCAGCATCTGTTTTGGCACAAGTACAGTAATTTTGGGTAGATAAGCCGCGGCTTATACGTGTTTAAAAGTTGAAAATTTAGGCCGGCGGCGTATCTGAGGGAATTTTATTTTTCCTCTGCCCTGAAAACTTTGCTAGTTCACATCGCAAGTTACGCACAAGCGAAACGGTAAGAATTCGCTGCAATATTCTAAACTCAGATTGCGCTAAGTGCAATAAGTTCAAACTCGGCTAATTAAATTAGGTGGCACTTTCTGTAAAGACACAATAATGATACATGTACTTTCTGCTAAACTCCATGATTTTGCCCGTGTTTTCCTATGACTTTTTGTTTTAATGGAAACAGCTACGTTTACTTTACAAGTGCTGTGTTCATTCTTACACGTTTTGACTTCTTTGTAGCTGGCTTCTTGCTAACCTTATTATTCACGCTTTTAAATATTATTATTATTACAAATAGTTCTCGAAGAAAACGTTATACAGCTGCTTTTAAGTTTTTGGCAGTGAAGAAAGTGATTGAAATTAGAAATCGTGCTGCGGATACAGAATTTCAAGTTGACGAGCGGTGGAAGTCCGAATAAGAAGAATTAGACAAAATGCCTAAGAATAAACAATGAGCATTAAAACTTTTGTTGAAGGACCTAATTGATGTTTCAGGTTCATGAAGCAAATGAAATTATCTGTCAGGACCAAAACAACAGTTGGACAAAAGCTTCCCTTGGACTAGCTTTGGGGAAAAAAAAATAACTTTTTTTGGAGTACACATATAAGAAAATTAAAAAACAAAATTTGAAAAGAGGGCAAATAATTAATGTGGACACGAAGTGCCCATTACTTTTGACTGTCATCCTTAGAGCAAAAATGCTTATTCAATAGGTGAAAAAACTATTTCAGGGTTAAGAACCGGGAATGAAAACGCTTCTTTTACTTGTGTTTTGGGTTGTGGCACTAATGGAGAGAAGTTAATCCCTTTGATAATTTTCAAAAGAGAATTTATTTAATTCGCAAAAGAGACTTCCCTAAACAAGTATTGGTTGATCTTTACATTACGGTAACTGGTAGTTTGGCGACATTTTGGAGGCGATAAAGGTTACTACTTTTGGTAAATGTAGCATACTGAGTTTTACGCATTATTTTGTGTGGTGGGAATGCGAGATCATGGGAATTCAATATATTTACGAATTACGGTTCTTTAATCGGAAAGGGGGAAATCGGGAAAAAATCTGGAATTTTTGTATTTGGCTTTATCTGGTGTTGAAAATAGTTTTGGAATTTTTTGGATCCCAATATTTTAATGGTGTTTTTTGAATTTAATTATATATTTAATGAAATGATAGTTATTTGTGATTTTATACTTGTAGGAATTTGTTGTAGTTTAAGTTAATAAAGGTGCATGGAAATAATTAAATATTTGATAATAATATTTGTAATGCTTCATGTTGAATTCGTTTGGTGACGTGTATAATGTATAGATGATTAGAGGTAAAAGTTTTTGGATATTTTATTTATTTTATATGTGTTCATATTTGTAAAGGGTAATACTTTTTCGCGATCATGTAATTTCATATATGTTTTCTTTTACCGGGTTAAAGATTGAGAAAATTGTCATGTATTTTCGTGAAATTTTTTAATTTATGAGATAAAAGCAGTGTACATGGATATAGTGAAGAGTGTGCCAATGCCATTTTTGTGCAATTCTGGGATGTTTTTTTAAGTAAAATAATCGACGTGTACATGGTTTCAGTGATTTTTAATGAAATGATATATTTGTGAATTTTATGCTTGTAGGAATTGGTTTACGTTAAGTTGAAATAAACGTGCTGGAAATATTTAAATATTTGATACTAAATATTTGAATGCTTCATGTATGAATTCGTTGGCGACGTGTATAATGTAATAGATATTTAGAGTAAAAGTTTTTGGATATTTATATGTGGAAATGTTTATATTTGTAAAGGGTAACTACTTTTCGCGATCAGGTAATTTCATATATGTTCTTTTTTACCGGGTTTAAAGATTGAGAAAATTGTCTGTATTTTCATGAAATTTTTCGAATTTATGAGAAAAAAAGCAGTGTACATGGATTAGTGAAGAGTGTGCGCAATGCCATTTTTGTGCAATTCTGGGATGTTTTTTAAGTAAAAATAAGTCGGCGTGTACATGGTTTATGTGTATGTGTTATTTTGAAAACCGTAAGGTGTATGGTATTGTGCACTTTTCTGAATTTTGCAGTGTATTTGTCTTGATAGCAGTTTTGTTTGAAAATTTCTACATAAGTGTAATTCGGCTAGTAGATTGTTGGAAGAAGTGTTCAGTAGATAAGAGAAAAACATGTCTTACTTCGTGAAGACAAAATGGCGGCGGGGAAAAAAAAATAGAGGGTTGCTGTAGGGGAGTTGGTTGCCAAATTTTCGCCAAGTTACCGTAATGTAAAGATCAACCCAAGTATTATTTGCTCCAACAAAAAGGACGGATGTGCGAAGAAGTGATGTTTGGCTGAGAGAAATTTGTCATAAAAGGAAAGGTGTTTTTTTATAACCCCGAGGACTCATCGTTCTCGATTTAATGCAATCCCATTTAGTGGATACGGCAAGATCTAAAGCAAAAAATACTTAGCACCAATGTCTCAGTGATACCAGGTGGGCTTACAAAAATTTTACAGCCGCTGGATCTCACTATCAATAGAATTTTCAAGCATGAACTACAAAAGCAGTGGGAGGAATGGATGCAAAGTGGACTTCATGAAATTCAGGACGAATGAGAAAAGCTTCGTATGAGGAGGTTGCCTTATGGGTGTATAACGCATGGCAATCAATCTGAGCTGATACTACTGGCTTTCATTAAATCGAAAAAGAAAATGAAAGTGAAGTTAGTGACATTGTAAGAAGTGATTTAGAATAGAATGATGAAACTGACCTTAGTGGTCATTTGTTAAACTTACTTAATTCTGACATTAATGATTTTGAAGGTTTTGTATAAATAAATGTAGTTTAATTTAAATACTGATTTCTGTTTGATTATCTAATTTACGTATTCCTCTTCATAATATGGTAATTTATGGTGATAAACCATAATCCAAAGATTAACCAATTACTCTTTATTTAAAGATATCTAATGTAATATTTACAAAGACTAGTGTGAAATCAAACAGAATTAAAATTACGATAATATTAATAATGTTCAAAACGAAATATTGTTTCATGTTCAGAAATATGGTTTTTTTCAATAAGTAAAAAGCTTCATATAAGACAAAAATTAATTAGCTATTAAATTATTTTTATACTTTTTCTCGAAGATGCGTTACTAGTACACCACATATAAAGAGAAAAACCTTTGTGAAAAACGGTACTTACTTTGACAATCTGTGAAGAATACGGGATAATAAACTGCAACATACATCAATCCTGCAAACAAAGTTAGAAAGCGGAATTTCTCATATATAAATAAGCAGATTACTTGCGGTGCATCAGAGTGCTACACTTTTCTCCCATTTGGCAAAGATTCTAGCAACAGTTGGAATAAAAAGTATGGTCGAATTACAGATCAAGCCAATTTTAGGAAGATTCCTGACTTTGCCTCATTAGAAATTAACTCAAACTGAGGAAAAGCGTATTAAAAGTTTTGAATTACAAAAGAAAAAAAATTGTGGGGATTTATTTAGTTTGACTAACAGTTAATTTTTAGTTAAAACAACTTCTCTTTCAGTCTTGTTTTCTCCCACGCTTTCCTTCCAGAATACTAAAGTTTTCAAATGAGTTCCAAGTTCCCCTTCTGCCGGTATTATCAAGCAAAATGCTTGATTTGTTCCGGGTGTCATCAGGTGATTGCACCAAGGAGGGCGCATAAGGTGGACTGATACTTTGATACAGAAGTATTTATACAGGGGGTCTACTGCTTTTGCAGTACTTCCCTGTAAACCTGAAGTAAATCCACAATGGGCATGGTGATGAGAGAAACCTGAAGAAGTCCCATGGAGGGAGCTGTGAGTGAGAAAAAGAATGAAGTAGCATCAGTCCGGTGTGTCGCCATCTGGTGGCGGTGATGTGATTAAACCGAGAAATTCACAGTCCGTGGGCGGAGAGCCAGGATCATGAGCTGACGAATCAGAAGCCAGCGCTGGTTGTTTGACGCGAGACTCTTTGCAGTGGTCAGGTTAATCACGTGGGGTGGTCACCCTCTCGGAAACTGACCCTAGTGAATACTGCTTAATTTGTGTGGAAATTTAACATGTTAATAGTATGAGCGGTGAAGGGTCTATTGAAGTAATCGTCTTCTATGATTTCATAATTTAAAATGTTGGAGAAGTCTGCTATGCTATTATGGTTTGCTTTTTTGTAGAAGTTTTCGTTAAGCTTATTAATGTACGTTGTCACATATTCAATTTTTAAATCTCGATGCAGGTTTTTATTTCTGATGTAGTATGGGGTTCCTGTGATGTTCGGAGAAACTTGTTCTGTATAATCTGCAGCTTTTTGAGATCGTTTTGTTTGGCGTTTGCCCAGACTGGGGATGCATATGTTATGATGGGTCGTATGATTGCTGTGTATATTCGTCTCTTCCTATTGAGGCTCAGACCTGAAGACTCAGCCAGGAGGTGAAACAGTTTGCACATGATGCCGAAGATTTTCCCCCTGGTGATGTTGATGTGCGTAGACCAGGTGAAAGTTCTATTGAAAGTAATTCCGAGATATTTGGCCCGAGTTACAATCGGGATTGGTGTGCCAAATAGGGTAACTGTAGTGGAAATGTTATCCAGGTGCTTGTAGCGCCGGATAAGCAGAATTTGGGATTTGTCAGCATTGATGTTGACTCTCCACTTCGTGCACCATTCTTCTACCTGGGTCATTTTCTTTTGGAGTTGGACGAGAGCGTTGTTAGGTTTCCTGGATTTTTGTATGAGTGCGGTGTCATCCGCGTAACAGGCAAGTTGAAAGTTGCAGTCTTTTGAGAAGGTAGGAAAGTCGTAGACGTAAATGATATAGATAATGGGTCCTAGGATACTACCCTGGGCGACCCCACCTAGGATAGGATAAGGATTAGTAAGATGATCACCCTGTCTTACTGAGAAAGTTCGATTTTCGAGGAATGACTTCAGGATGAGGACGAGTTCTCTCGGGATATGCAGTTGTATAAGCTTATAGATGAGGCCTTCATGCCAGACGCGGTCAAAAGCTTTGGCCACGTCTAGCATGAGGAAGCAATACTTTGTTTATTTCTGAGCGCCGATCCTATAATTCAGAAATACGAACCAGTGATGGGTGGTCGAGAGTCCTTTCCTGAATCCATGCTGTTCTTTTGGGATGAAGTCAAGGTGGTTTTGCAGTCTATTGTAAATAATTCGCTCAAAAATCTTTCCCAGCGTAGACAGGAGACTAATAGGTCGGTAGCTGGTAAGTTTGTCAGGTGGCTTCTTGGGTTTTGGAATAAGGAAGATCGAAGCGTGTTTCCATACATTTGGAAAGTAAGAGTTCGTGAGACAGGCGTTGTAGATAGATGTTAGTTTGCAGATGACACCGTGCGGGAGCTGTTTAAGTAGTTTATTTGAGATTTGGTCAGGTCCAGGAGCTTTTCTATTATTTGAGTTTTTGATTATATTTTTCACTTCACTTGGGGTAGTGAGTTTGATCCCAGTTTGTTCACATGGTGCACTGAGCCAGTTTTTGACGTGGTCAGTAATGGCGGCAATGCTTGTTTGGTCTGCAGGGAAATCGTTGGGCGTGAATTGCTGGGTCAGGTGATCGGCAAAAGCTGCTGCTTTTTCTTCATTGGTGTACGCAATGTTAGATTGCGTTCTGATTGGAGGGGTGCTAATTGTAGGGTTTTTCCGTTTACGAATGTACTTCCAGAAGGAACCGTCTTCAAGATTTAAGTTTTCAATTTTTAAATTCCAGGATTCGTTTCGATGCTGCTGGATACTAGATTTAATTTTTCTGGTGAGTCTATTGATAATTGGTTTTAAGGTAGGATCCCAGGTGTGATTGTAGAGTTTTCGGGTTCTGTTCCGTTGCTTGATTAATTCTCTGATGTGCATGGGTAGGCGCGCCGTAATGAGAGGAATGCCTCTTTTCTGTAGTTGCTAATGCAAGGAAATCCTGAAGAGAGTTCGTAAAAATTTTTGCAGCTTTCTCTATATCAGTTGTGGTTTTTTAGAGGACCCAGGTTTATGGGGGATGTAATTGCAAGGTTGTGAAATAATTTCCAGTCTACAATTTTCTCTTTCTTTGCATCTATCGGCTTGTTGTAACCCAGTCTTGCCATTACAGGGACATGGTCTGAGGTCAGCTCTTGAGTAACTTCCATTGCAAGGGGTATGTTGAAATTAGTGAGGAAAAAATCAAGGATATCAGGTCTTTTACGTGGAGTGTTTGGGCGGTATGTAGTTTCTTCGGGTGTGTATAGGAAGATGGGATAATTTTCTACGTAGTCTCTGATGGTGTGTCCGTTTGCGTTGCTGTGATTGCAGCCCCAGTCCACATGCTTTGAATTGAAGTCACCTCCAATGATTGTGGGAGCTGAGTCTTGCAGGTAATGATGTAAATCACTCGCAGATATTTTGTTGTCAATTGGGTTGTAGAGTGCACAAATTTTTGTATGTCCGATTTTGGGTAAAACCACATTAACACTGACAGTTTCGAATGCTTTTGTATTATCCGCAGATAATAAGCCAGAGCAAAGAGTCCTTTTCAGGTAGATGGCGACACCTCCGCCACGGTGTCTGATTCTATCGCATCGATAGGTGCTATAATTTGCGATATTGATGTTGTGCTTTGATTTGCGTGCGTTTCAGTGACAGGCAGATGTCCACCTCATGCCTATAAAAAGTCCTGAAATTCTGGTATTTTTTGAGTAATGTTTCTGTGCATTCCACAGAGTAATCGTAATAGGAGCAAAACTTTGATGGGATTAGTCAATTTTTCTGAGGAGGCATGACTGAATTTTGCCACTGCGGCAGCATTGAGCTTGTGCAGTAGTGTCCTTTAAGTAGAGATAGCGGCCGTGAGGGTTGCTATCAATGATTTGGCCTCTTCGAGTTTTGCTGTGAGCTCGGCAATTTCAGGTGGTTGCCTGTTTTGTGGTGGCTGAGCACTATTCATGACAACTCTGTCCGAATCAAGGAGGTTAGAATAGAAGGAGGGAGGGTTCGCAGTTTCCTCCACTATCAGGGAATGAAACTTCACCGAACAAGCGGCGTCCATATTTGTAACTTCAAAATACTGCATTACGGCAGTGAAACGTACGTGTTTTTAAGCTGTTCCGTGCATGTATTTTCCACTAAAAATATGTAAAATTTATATTTAAATACTTTGCTATTGTTAGTTTTTTTTTAAGTTATAAAGATGATATCTGTATTACTACGTACAGAAAAATCATTAAGAAATAGTTCGAAATCTAAATGCATGTGCATAACATTTAAAGCCTTAAAAATAATGTTTTCGTAATTTCAAGAATTTGTTTAGGTTTTTTATTAGCAACCTGTGGGTGTACTTTCAGTTTTCCTTTAAGAAGTGATATTATGATTTATTACAATATTGTAATTTATTAAAGAATCATTTAAAATATATTTAACCTGAAAATTAATACAGATAATATCTAAAAAATAGTCCAGGTTGCATTTTTTAAATGAAAGTTTTAAATAGATCTTTTCACAAACAACACCTTATAACAACAAGAAAGTAAATATTAATAAATAAACAGATTTATGTGAATTCAGTAATTTCAGTTTATGCGCGTTTCATATTTATGAATCTCAAAGAAATTACCTTGAATTAAGCTGAATTACAGAAATATAGACCTATAACTATATTTTTGGGTACATCTTTCCACATGCTCAGTTGTGTAAATATTTTACTTACTTTTATCGCTATACTGCCCACAAATTTCTAAATTTATGTAAAACAAAAATTTAACAACATGAAAGTTAGTTTATCTTGATCAAATGCACAAATTATATTCCTAACAGTTCACAAAACTTAAAAATGAATAATAATTAATACATAAAGAAAACCATTACTTTGTTTAACACCTCTACAATTCATAAAATAGTAACAATTGGTGTCTTACTTTTCATGAAAATTATCACTCGAATTACCTAACACGTTCAAATTATACAGTTTAAATTCTAGCATACATCATTGTATGTTAAGGAACAAAGATGCCAGCTATAACAGAAACATTAAAATTATTAAACACATTTGATTATTATTAAGTCCTTTTTTCACATCTGGAAGAAAACAACATGACATTGTAATATTTTTACCTAACTTATTACATAAAAAAAGAAAATCAATACTTACGCGGGAAAGAATTCAGAAAATCTTTTTCGAAAATCTGTTTGTGCATTCATATACAACACAGCTGACATGCTTCAAAAAGAAAAAGAAGAAAAAATATGTAATTACGGACTTCCTTGCACAAGTCACAGCGATAACAGTAACATGGCCGCCAAGC